AGAGTCCATCTTCTCTCATGGTTCGTCCACCCCTCCGATTTCCCCCGCTTCATTCCTCCCCTCCCGCTACCTTCTTCTTCTTCTTTATCTTTTCAATTTCTTAATAGTGTCCTTTGAGGCAGAAAATTCAAATTTTGATGAACTCCAATTTCTATTTTTGTTGTTGTTTGTGCTTTTGGTGTCATATTTAAGAGTCCTTTGCCAAATGCAAGGCCATGAAGATTTTCTCCCAGTGTTTTAGCTCTTACATTTAGGTCTTTGATCCATTTTTAATTAATTTTTGTATATGGTATGAGGTAGGATCCAAATTCATTCTTTTACATGTGGATATCCAGTTGTCTCAGCACCGTTTGTGGAAAAGACTGTTCTTTCCCCATCGAGTGGTTTTGGCAGCCTTATCAAAAGCTAGTTGACCATAAAGTAGTGGTTTATTTCTGAACTCTCAGTTCTCCTCTGTTGATCTAAAAATCCTATGCTGCACTGTCTTGATTACCATAGCTTTGTAGTAAGTTTTAAAATGGAGAAGTGAGAGTCCAACTTTATTCTTTTTCAAGATTGTTTTGGGTATTCCATAAATAGTCAAAGGTTCCTTAAATTTCCATGTGAATTTTAGGGTCAGCTTGTTAATTCTGATTAGAAGGCAGTTGGAATTTTGATAGGGATTGCATTCAGTCTGTACATCAATTTGGGAAGTATTGCCATTTTAACAATATTAAGTCTTTCAGTCCATGGATATCTTTCCATTGACTTAAGTCTTCTTTAATCTCTTTCAACAATGTTTTGCACTTCCTTTGCTAATTTGTTACTATTTTTGATGCTATTATAAATGTAATTGTTTTCATAAGTGTCTTCTCAGATTGGTTTTTGCTAGTGTATACAAATGCAGTTGAATTTTATATATTGATCTTGTTTCCTGCAACCTTACTGAACTCATTTATTAGATGTAATAGTTTTCTTGTGTGGATTCCTTAGGATTGTCTTTGTGTAAAATCACATCCCCTGCAAATAGAGGTAGTTTTACTTCTTCCTTTCCAGTATATATGCCTTATATTTCATTTTCTTGCCTAAGTGCCTTGACTAGAACCTTGACAGTATAGTGTTGAATAGTGTTGTCCCTGATCTGGGGCAGGCGTGGGGTGAACATTGAGTATGATGTTAGCTGTGAGGTTTTTGTAGATGCCATCTATCCGATTGACAGAGTTGACTTCCATTCCTAATTTGTTGACTGTTTTTATCATGAGGAGGTACTGGATTTTGTCAGATGCTTTTTCTGCATCTGTTGAGAGGATTGTGTCGTTTTTGTCTTTTGTTCTTTTGATGTGGTGTATTACAGTCACTGATTTTTTATTTTAAACCAACCTTGCATTCTTGGAATAAATCCCACTTGGTCATGGTATATAGTCCTTTTTATACATTGCTGGATTCCATTTGTTAACATTTTGTTGAGGATTTTTGTGTCTATATTCAGTATTTACTGATTATTTAAAAACAATATTTGAGAAAATTTAAACATAAAAAAATCTAAAAAACAATATAACAGATATATGTTTCCTAATTTAGTCAGTGCCTAAAAATCACATGTAACTTTTTGTCTTATTTTTTTGGCATGAATTTTTTCACCCTCCTTGCTCACCCCGCCTTCTACTCTCTCCTCTCTCTCCCCCTCTCTTTTGAGAAGTAAAGTGTTAGAGTTCAGTGCTGGCCATGATGGAGTAAGCCGCCTACAGGCTTTCTCTCCTGCTGATGACGGGTAAAAATGAGATAAAATATTAAAAACAGTACAAAGCCGATAGGTTGGGAAAGGTATTCGAAACTTGGAGCAGTGACCATGTACGTGTGAGTTTTCCACTTTTTAACATCTTTTTCCCATTTGACCTTTGACCATGGGCCAGCTATCCACTATGGGGCTGTGCTGTGAGAATTGCTGCACATACAGCAAAAACTTTAAGAGAAACCCCTGTCTTTCTGCCTAGAGAAACTGGAAAGGGGCCCCTGTAAGCAGAAGCATGTGAGGGAAAGGCAAAAGAACTAGAATACTCAGAACAATTTTGAAAAAGAAGAACAAAGTTGGAGGACTCGCTCTATCAGATATCAAGACTTACTATGAAGCTGTAGTCAAGACTGATATTGGCAAAGGGATAGGTACATAATAATCAACTGGACAGAATAGACGCTCCCAAGATAGACCTACACAGATACGGCCATTAACTTTTGACCAAAGTGCAAAGGCTGTTCAGTGGAGAAAGGATAGTCTTTTCAACAAGTGGTATTGGAATAATCAGACATCCATCTGCAAAAAAGGGAAGCTCAAATATACCTTGCACATTATATTAAAAGTTATATAATAGTATTAAATTATTTATAAAAATTATAAAATACATAAAAATCTATCATACACTGAAAGTAAAACCTAAAACTTTAGAACTTCTGGAAAAAAACAGGAAATCTTTGTCATCTTGAGTTAAGCAAAGCATTGTTAGATATGACACCAAAAGAATGATCCATGAAAGAAAAGTCAGGGGCGCCTGGGTGGCTCAGTCAGTGAAGCGTCTGCCTTCAGCTCAGGTCATGATGTCAGGGTCCTGGGATCGAGTGCCGTTGTCAGGCTTCTTGCTCAGCAGGGAGTCTGCTTCTCCCTCTGCTGCTCCCCCTGCTTGTGCTCTTTCTCTCTCTGACAAATAAATAAATAAGATCTTTAAAAGAAAGAAAAGTTGAGCTAGACTGCATCAAAATTTAAAACTTCTGTGCTCCTACAATGGTAAGAGAATGAAAGACAATTCACAGATTGCGAGCAAATATTTGCAAATTACGTACCTAACAAAGGACTTTTAACCAGAATATATAAAGAATTCTCAAAACTCAACAACACAAATAACTCCCCCCAAAATAAAAAGATTCTAACAGACACTTTGCCACAAAAGGTACACAGATAAAAGGCACATGAAAATACCTGATTATTCAGTAGGAAAATGGCACACAAGATACACTACACATCTATTAGCTAAAATTAAAAGCTAACTTTTTAAAAAATCCTACCAAACTAAGTGCTGGGGAGGAGGAGGAGCAATTGCAATTTTCACGCGCTGCCAGTAGGAGTACACGATGGCACAGCTCCTTGGATGAGTGCTTGGGCAGTTTCTTATAAAGTGAAGCATGCATTTACCGGCAGACGCATTCTGAGGTATTTACCCAAGAGAAATAAAAACATGTTTACACAAATACTTGTGTGCAAGTAGTTATAGTGGCTTTATTTATAATCACCCAAAACTAGAAACAACCCACGTTTTCCACCTAGTGAATGAACAAAGGGGTCCATCCATACAGTAGAATTAACTACATAGCAGTAAAAAATATATTATCGATATTCCCAAAACATGGGTGAATCTCAGGCGCACCATGCTGAGTGAAAGAAGCCAGACTCAGAAGGTTCCATGGGGTACGAGTCCATTTAGGGGACAGTCTGGAAAGGGCAAACTGACGGTAACAGAAAACATGAATGGTGGCCAGGATTTGGGGTGGAGGAAGGCTTGACCACAGAGGGCGTGCTCGGGGACAGAACTGCATGTAACTGTGGTCATGGTTACACACCTGTGTGCATTTGTCAAATATTTATAGACCTGTGCACCAGAAGGGGTGATCTTTATGTAAGCTTTAGAAAGTGAACAAAGTGAGAAATAAATTCTAGATACATCAGAAAGCTAAAGCCCCATTCCCACCCCAGTTCCCACCCCTCCTTGCCAAGGTCATGGCAGTGCTGTCATGAAATTGGTGAGTGCCTTGCTCCCCTGTTCTTACTGTGCATGTTTGTATAATCACGCTGTGTTCCAAACATTTATATAAATGGTACAATAGTACATGTATTGTTTTTGCAACATGATTTATTTCTCTCAACATTGTGTTTCTGAGTTTGATACGTGCCTAGATCTATTTCATTTATCTTCACTTCCTGTCTCTGTCGCTCGGCCGCCATCACAAAACCCCGCGGACCGGGCCTTCAACGGCAGACCGTTGTTTCTCACGGTTCTGGAGGCTGAAGTCTGAGATCGAGGTGGCGGCCTGCAGACGGCCACCTTCTCGCGGTGTCCTCACCGGGAGGCCAGCGACCTCTCCCCTCTCCTCCTCTTCTGTGAGGACACGGATCCCATCTGGGGGATCCCTCACCTCACCCCCGCCTGGGGTCCCCCCTCCTGATGCCATCCCGCGGGGGGTTAGGGCTTCCACGGAGGAGTTTGGGGGACACATTCAGTTCTTAGCACTTTTTAACAACTCATTTAGTGTTTAATAATAGAGCGTTTTTGACATTTATTAAAATAAACTACCACAGTGCATATCCTGTGCGTCTCTGTTCCCTTGTCCACACGCCTGAGGCTACACCCAGAAATGGAGTTCCCACCTTGTACAAGGGGTGCGCACACCACACTTTATTATTTTTGTCTTCATATGAGTGTAGCGTCATTTACATTCCTGCGACCTCATCACTCTTGACAGGCTTTTGTAGACCTTAGTGGTACCTCATTGTTTTCACTTGCATTTCCCTAGTTGCTGATGAAGCTGAATATCTTACATGTTTGTTCTCAATTTGTTTTTCTTGTCCAGAAATTGCCAGTAAGCCTCCTTTATCTGTTTCTGGAGGTGGGGCTCTTTTTCATTTTGTCTTGTCCTTGCGGGGGGCTGGCACTCTGTTTTAGTCCAAGCCTCTGGGACTTGGTCCTATAGAACATCCCACATTAGGCCACAGCCATACCACCCTGAACACGCCCAGTCTCGTCTGATCTCAGAAGCCAAGCACGGTCGGGCCTAGCTAGTACTTGGAAGCAAGAACATCCCACATTTAGGATGAAAGTGTCTAACCGTGCAGTGGTCTGGTGTTGGGCTCAACGGTTTCAGGCTGGTGACACAGCGTGGAGAGTGCCTACCATGTGTCTGTGCTTTCTCTCGTTTCTCCTGTTTCTAGAGGGGAGGCAGGCACTGAGCGTGGCTCCTAGATGACAGTGCTCAGCAGTGAAGTGGTGCTCCTCCTGCAGGCTGGAAATACAGGGGCCTCCTGGGAGAGGACCGGTGGCAGAATGGGTCCTTCCAACCACCACTAAGCCCCCGTCGGGAAGGGCATCCTGCTCTCAGGCACCAACCCACCCTGTGTCGCGGCAGAAGGCAGCAGGGGTAGGCCCCAGTAGCACTCTGGCCTGCTCAGACCTGTGCTTCTTCCCAGGCCCCACCATGTCCGAGCCCCAGAGCCCAGAACCGGCCCTCAGTATACAGGGAGACTCCCCCACGGGCACGAAGGATGAGGACGCTGCTGACGGGACCCAGCACTCACACCGCATGCTCAGCTTCAGTGATGCACTCCTGTCCATCATTGCCACTGTGATGGTCCGTGTGGGGCCCCACCCAAAGCCCCTCTCACATCAGGACCCCTGGCCACCCCCTCTCAAGACAGTCTTCTGGTAGAGCTTGGCTCAGTATAGACCCTGCCCTGTCTCAGCAGTGTCCTGGGGTCTCCCGGCCACTCAGGCAGCTGGATGGGTGGGGGGAGCAGTCCAGCACTGGCCCAAGTCCCTGGCACCATGGCATCCAAGGAGTGGTCTGTGCACAGCCCAAGAAATGTCCCTTGGTTCTTTTTGTGTCTTTGCTCTCATAGATCCTGCCTGTGACCCACACGGAGATCTCCCCAGAACAGGTACTTGGGGACCACAGTGCAGCATCCAGGGTGAGGGTGAGGGTGCAGGAGACTCAGTCCATAAGCCCAATTCTAGGCTCCACCCAAGATGTGCCTGGCTGGGAGGGCTGGGGCGAGGTCGTCTTCTGCTCCCTCGGCCACCCTGGTCGGCCCCAATCCTGGCCTGCAAATAGGGTCAGTGCCCTCAAAGTGAGCCTTGAGGGTGGGTTGAGAATAGAAAGTGCAGTAGCCCATCTGGTTGTGGGCCTGGAAACCTGTTCCTGGCTCCCCCAGAGTGTCCGTCAATGGTAGATGGTTACTACTGGGCTGGGGGCCTCCTCAGTGCACAGGGGCACATGGGTTTTATCATAGAAGTGATTGGGGAACAGTTCCTAAAGCAGAGTTTCCATTTGTATTAAGAGAATATTTCTGTTTCATAAATTAAGTAGTGACACACAGCACCTCAAAAGCTGGACGCGATTTCAGAAGACTCTTGAAAGTCCCCGGGCATGCCTGTGTGAGCGTGCCTCGCTCAGCCCCTCAGTGTGAACGGGGGTGTGGTTGGGGCACGGAGGAGTGAGGGTGGGAGATGCTGGGGCTGCTGGGCCTGCCAGCTGCCGTCTGGGCTCCAGGCCCAACTAGCACGCTTAGCCTGGATGCAGCTGGGAATCACAGGAGCTGCTTAGACTTTGTCTTTTTCATCTGGAAGAGTGACTGGTACCTCTGGTAGGGTTTTGAAGAGAATTAAGTAGAAATGCAGGTCGAGCCCGGTAGCCGCAGCGGCCGGGTGGAGGGCCTGGTGCCACTCTGCTCCCTAGCTGCCCTCTTCAAAGGCAGCCTGCTGCCCACTGGGGCCCTGGGGCTCACCTAGCTGTGCCTGCTCCAGAACCTTCTCTGGGGAGGGCCTGGGCCAGGTCAGAGACCTCAGTGCTACCAATTTCAGAATGGGGTGTGGATGAGGAGCTCCTGGGGTCTTGGTCGGTTGGACGTCTGACTCTCGGTTTCGGCTCAGGTCCTGACTCATGGATGGTGAGATCAAGCCCCACATCGGGCTCTGCGCCCAGTGGGGGAGTCTACTAGAGATTCTCTCCCTCTGCCCTTCCCATCCCGCACATGCTCGCTCTCTAAAAAAAAGTAAAATCTTTAAAAAAAAAAAAAAGATTGGGGTGCGGATGTGTAACAGGAGATGTCAGGTGGCACGGGAAGGTGTATGCAGTAAACCTCACTTCTCTGCAGTTGGGGTCATCTTTTTGGAGAGCAGTACTTGTCGTTGTGAAATCTCTGTGTGTGTTAGCTGGTTCATGGAGAAGCTCTGAGCCAGAAAGTTGTGCAGTGGTCTGGGGACGCCCACAGAGAGGACAGTGCTGGAAGGTGTCAGCTAGCAGGCACTCCTCCCAACTTGAAGGGAAAGACTAGTCAAGGTCCAGAAAACCTAGCAATTCAGAAACTCTGAGTCCTCAGTGAAGTACTGGGATATTGGGTGAGACACCCAGTTGCGGGTAAAGAACCAGAGAAAAGGGCAAAGCAATCAGTTTTCCACTTTGAGTTTTTGCTGATAAAGTCCAAGCTTTGTGTCCAGCTCATTTCCATTTTCCCCATCATGCCTGCAAGTCACTTCCCACCTGGGGGTGGTGCCTCCACGACCTCCCCAGGCTTCATAGCTACGTCAGATTGGGATACCTGGCAGCTCGGTTGGCTCTCTGCTCTGGACAAAGAGTCTCTGCCTCAAGAGCCGTCATTTCAGTGGGAAGCTCCACACGAGATCCCCAAATAGGCACCTGTGGGATGTGGGGCATGGGTGGTGTGGAGCAAGGGGTAGGGGGCTGGGAGGCTACCCCGAAGAGGAGCCTCTTCTCAGCAGGGAGGGGCTGGGGTAGAGGCCGATCCAAGGACCCTTCACGGGCCCTGCATGGGGCCGCCCTTTGGCTGCCGCAGAGTAAAGTCTGATGCTGACGCTCTTCTGTTCTGCCAGTTTGACAGAAGTATACAGAAACTTCTAGCAACCAGGATTGCTGTTTATCTGATGACCTTTCTCATCGTGACTGTGGCCTGGGCAGCACACACAAGGTACGGAGCCAGGCTGAGGGCTTTTTCCAGACTGAGATCCACGTCTTTGTGGCTCCCTCGGTGTGTGTACCCCGTGGCTGCAGGCCTCCGCTTGCTCGCCTCCACATGACACAGCGTCTCCCGCTCCCACGGGCACACGCGCTGGGCCTCGACCTGGCACGGGGCAGGGCAAGCGCAGGACTGCAAGCGGACTGCCTTGTGCATCCCTGTGGCGCTGCGCTGTGCACGCACGCTCCCTCTGCCCGGTCCCGGGACTCTGGCGAGGAGGAAGAGGCTGCACGATGCACACTCCCAAGCCAGAGCCTTCTTTTCGGGAGGGGCTGCAGGGGACCCCTGACCCCCAGGCGGGACAGGCGGGCTCTCAGGAAGAGCGTTGGGGTGGATGTGGGCACGGATGCCCTCCGTTATCGGTCTGCCCTTGCAGAGGAAACACTTCTGGTTGGGGGTGCTGGGCGAACAGGGAGACTTGGAGCCCCTCAGATGCAGGCGCTCGCTTTGACAGTATCTTAACATTTTACGTTACAAACTTGTTTTCAGCAAGATGACCGTTTCTGGTGGGGACAGGCGGCCCTTCATAAGGGCTTAGGGAAGGGCTTTTCCCTTCCACCTCGATTGTCCATGGAGAGTGAGAAGCTACAACCACCCTCTGTCTGGTCCTGCTGGTGGCCGTGCAGGCCGCTGATGTGGCTGAGCTCCTGTCGCTCCGGCAGCATGCACAGGGCCACACAGAGCCTCGCGTGTGTGCTGGGTCATCGATGGCCACCCTTGGGGGCCGCAGTGCCCAGAGCAGCACAGATCCGCCCGGGGCCCCCACGGCTGTGTGCATCCCCCCAGGCTCCGTGGGTCACCAGTGGGGCTGCCATCCCGAGGGGATGCAGCCCTGAGTATTGGGCCCCTTTTGGCCCCTGGCTGGATGCAGACCCCCCCAGGAAGGGGGGACTGAGGCCCACTGAGCCCTGCCCAGGGAAGGTCTTGTCCTCAGAGGGTCAGAGCCCTGCAGGGTCTCCAAGGAGGAGCTGGGCGAGTTCCTCAGTTGCGCGTGGTCCCTGGCCCTGTGTTTAGTTTTCTGTCACTCCTTCCTGCCTCCATATCAAACCATCTCTCTGTTCTGTGGGGTGTTTCAGCAGGTTTAGTGAATGGCATCCCTGGAAGGACTTGTTTCTTTTTTTTAAGATTTTATTTATTTATTTGTCAGAGAAGAGGGTACAAGTAGAGGGAATGGCAGGCAGAGGGAAAAGCACATTCCCCGCAGAGCAGGGAGCCCGACGCGGGACTCAATCCCAGCACCCTGGGACCGTGCCCTGAGCCGAAGGCAGATGCTTAACGACTGAGCCACCCAGGTGTCCAGGACTTCCTTTTTTAAAAGTGGTCTTTGGACGCGAGACCTGAAGAACAAGTTCCCTGGAGGTTTGAACTCCTCCTTCTCAGGTTTCCAGTCTCCCAGAGAACTTGAGGCGCCTCCCGAGGGCACGTCCTCCCTCCTCAGCTCCCTCCATGGCTTCTGCATACCCACCCCGGCTCTGTTGGAAACCATGCACTCCAAGTTACAAGAGTCCGTGAAAATGTGAGCAGTGCAGTTTCTAGGGACTTAGGGTATCCTGTTTGTTTTTTCAGTGTCCTCCAAAGTTTGTGCTAGGTAGAATTTTAAATTTGGTTAAAAATGACATATTTGAGGTACGTGGGTGGCTCAGTCCATTAAGCATCAGGCTCTTGATTTTGGCCTGATCATGATCTCAGGGTCGTGAGCTCGAGCCCCGTGTCGGGCTCCACACTGGGCCTATAGCCTGCTTAAGATTCTCTCTCTCCCTCTGGCCCTGCCCCTCCCTCTTCTGCCAAAATGACATCTTTTATTGACATTTTCATCAGCAAATGCTGGAGCATGTGTATGATGCTGTTAGAGCCTCTTTATTGACAGCACATCTTCCTGATTTTCTTACACGGTTTAGACTGTTCCAGGTTGTTGGGAAAATAGACGACACGCTTGCCTTGCTCAACCTGGTAAGTCGTCCTTCCGTTTCTTGAGAAACGAGTATGTTTGTAGGCCCATCCTCTGAAGAGGGCACGCCGGGGCTCAGCCTTTCTGGCGCCTCTGGTGTACGGAGCCTGGAACCCACCACCCGCTCCTGGGCTCCTCCCACGTCCTCCCCCGGGGGCGCCCCTGACAAGATGAGCCCCCTCCCCTCCTTGTTGGGCAGCAAAGGTATGAGCTTCCTTGGGGTCTAGGAGGTAGACAGTGACATGCCTCTGGGGTGGGGCACTGCCAGAGGTCACCCTGGGCAGCAGGGCCTGGAGCCACCTGCCTGCCTTCCCCTCCTTCCCTTCCTCCTCCTTTCTAGGCCTGCATGATGACCATCACCTTCCTACCATTCACCGTAAGTACCTGCAGTTTCCTCCCCGGGGCCAGCGTGCCCTCCCCTGGGCAAGAGGACTCGAGACCCCGGATGCTTCCTCAGAAACTCTCAGACCAACCGGGTGGTCCAGGGCCCAAGCACAGAGTTACATTCACGGCTGCTTTGAGGGTGGGGCACACCTAGGGTTCCCAGGCTGGTTGAAGGAAGGGAAAGCCTCCCCAAAAGGGGCCTGCAATGGCAGAGACACCAGCTTGACCTCTTACGGGCCCAACGAGGGGCATCCCGTCCATGCTCACCAACACTCGAGGCTCCTGCCTGGCCCCCATCCCACTGCTGCCGTCCCAGGCTCCTCCCCAGCAATGCCTTCATGCCTGCCCCGACTCTCAGTTCGGACAGAACTGTGCTCTGGGTGGGCAGGGCTGTGTGTCACAGAATTCTTCAAGAATCTGATGACATTTCGGCTTTAAAGGCTTAAAGCATTCCGTGGAATTGCTCTGGTAGGGAGGGACACCCTCTGGGTCTACTGCCGGATGTGTGCGCCCGGCTGAGAGCAGGAGGCTCATGAGCTCCGGGGCCCTGCAGAACCTGGTTTTGTCTTGTCTTGTGTTCTTGGCTGCAGTTTTCCTTAATGGTGACCTTCCCCGAGGTGCCTCTGGGCATCTTCTTGTTCTGTATGTGTGTGATCGCCATCGGGGCCGTGCAGGTAGGACATCCCAGCCTGCCTCCCCTCCCCCACACGCTTGTCCTCCTGCGCACACGTTGTCCACACGTGCAGCGAGAGTCGTGCTCGCGGGCCATGCTGTGGAGTGACCGCCCAGGCGCCCTGCCACGGCTGCGGCAGAAGATGCAGAGGTTCTTAGAGCCTGGGCTCCCTGTGCTGGCCTGGAGAGGGTCAGTGCCCTGTGGTGCCTGGTGGGGCAAGCCTCTCAGAGATCCCCCCACGCGGCCCAGAGAGACAGGCAGAGGCTCCCGTCCCCTGTCCGCCCCCCCAGGTCCGCCCCCCCAGGGCACGGCGTGGCGCGCCTCGCGCCCGTGCGGCTGCCGTCCGTGGACGTGGGGGCAGGGGTCCCTGGCCAGAGGCCCCTGCCTCTGCCTGCAGCCTCCTCTCCCACAGGCGCTGGTCGTCGTGTATGCCTTCCACTTCCCCCACCTCCTGCACCCCCAGATAGAGCGCTCCGCCCACAGGGCCCTCTACCGGCAGCATATCCTGGGCATCGTCCTCAGGGGCCCAGCGCTGTGCTTCATGGCCGCCGGCTTCTCCCTGTTCTTCTACCCTTTGGTGAGTGGGGGGGAGCAGGGAGGCGGGGAGGGGGGACTGTCTCACTGATGCCCCCGGGAGGGTGGGGCCGGGGGGAGAGAGCTGTGCAGAGGTCTCGGGGGACCACCGGCACGTGGCCTGGTGCCCAGAGTGCCAGGGAGCGCAGCCGGAGGGAGAGCCTCCCCACCACCAGCGGGACCTGTTGTGCAGGTGAACGGGCACCCCAGCCAGCCAGGCCCGCATGAAGAGACACAGGGTCCAATGGGGGCAGCCAGTGGGCCATGACCACCCACGTTTTCCCCAAGCGGGCGAAGCTTTAAGACAAGACGGGAGAGACTCGGATGCCCGGAGTCTGGGCTGTGCTTGTTCCTCGGGCGAGTAAGGGGTCTACATGAGGCCACCGGGGCAGCCGGCACTGGATGGCTTCTGGGTGGGGGTTCCAGGGGCATTGCCACGACGACAGGCGAGAGGCGCCTTAGGAAGCACAGTGATAAACCGTGTGAGCAGGTGGGGAAGTGTCCTAAAGACCCACGTGGAGGGTACGAGCGGCCCAGAGAGAGCACAGAAAGAAGATCCCACTGAGAAGTGGAGGGGGACCCAGCTGGGGTCAGAGGTCAGGATGCTTCGCACGGACAGCTCCGTGCACACCACCACCCGTGCGGGGATGCTGGAACTTGGAGCTGTGCCAGCCAGATCACAGAAATCAAGGTCGGCTAGTGCCCTCTTAGCCCTTAGCTAATTTAATAGGCACGTTGTTCTAGAACGCTTCCATTGTCCAGGAATGCAGAGAAATACAAACAAGCAACTGTCTCAGAGTCGATTGTGGAAGCTTTATGCGTGGCTCCTGCCTGGACCTGAGCTCTCGTGAAGCGCAGTGAAGTTTCAGGCCCAAAGCATCGTAACTGTGAAAAAATGGTTGATGTTGTTTTAAATGTCTAGTAAACATTTCAGGAGATGCCAAGTTTGAAACAGGTAGGCTAGCAAGGGCCACTGCTGAGCATCGTTCCCTCCAGGACGGAGCTGCCTGGTGGGGGCTGAGCGGCCAAGGCGTCCAGAGGTCAGGGCCGGGCAGGTAGAGCGGGGGAAGGTGCACACTGGCGTGTCAGGTGAGGGGCAGGCCTCAGGACACTGCTTGGTCTCCTCAGTCTTGAGCATGTTTGAGGTGCAGGGGTGCTGGTGGGAAGGATGCTGCAGGGGCGCTTGGGGTCGGGCAGGGCATCCTTGGCTGTGGCCTCTAGCAGGGTCGCTCCCAGTGGACAGGGCAGGGCCAGAAGGGGGATGCATTGGACAGGAGTCAGCAGTAAGGGGCATATGGTCTGAGGATGTGTACACGTCCTGGTTTCGAGTGGGACCGTCTCTCCTGGCTGTGCGTTCAGGGTGGTCAACAGCACGTACTGGTTGGACAAAGTCAGGGCTTGAGCAATGACGAGGGTCACTGCATGGAGGATCGGAGGGACGGCTGGCGTGTGTGGTATGGGTGGCCTGGGTGAGCCGAGCGGAGGACAAGGTAGTCTGTGCCCACTGCCAGGGCCTGGGCTGCATGGGCCGGTGTCCAGTGTGTCCTGGGGGTAACAGGTGACACAGCGTTGGGTCCATGTGCGGCTGGGCAGTGACCATGCCCTGGTGGGATGAAGGCAGTGGGGAGGGGACACCTGAGCCACCAGACTGGGAGGGTCCAAGTGGTCAGTAGGTCAGGGGCCTCAGAGGATGGGGTCACTCAGGCCGTGGCGCTCTGTGATGGATCAGTCAGCTCTCCATCCACCCCGCACTCACCTGTCCATGAGCCTTCCTCCCTCTGGCCCCTTGCCTCCGCCCCCTCACCTCCCCTGGAGCCCCATGCCCACCACTGCCTGTGGAACAACACGTCGGAGCTTCCTGACCCCCAAGGCCTGCCCATTGCAGCCTCCATCCTTCCAGACATTCCCTCAGCCAGACGCTGTGTCGGGTCCACCTTCCAGGTCCAGCCCCTTCTCACCAGCCTGGTCCAGGCCAACCTGTCCTCCCTGTGGACTGCCTTCTTCTGATGGCGATGCCCACAGGGCCCAGGGCCCAGGGCCCAGGGCCTCACCTGCCAGCATCCGTTCAGATGCCCCTTGTGTCGTGTTCCCAGCCCCGCACCAGACTCCGATCCCTCGTCTGCTGGGGCAGCCCTCCTGCCGATCCCCATCCCACAGTGGTGGGCCGCCTCCTACCTGTGTACCTGCGTCACAGCTGGGCGGCACCTCCCTCAGGGTGTCTGTTGAATGATGCTTGCGTTGCGGTCTCTTGAAGCACGGAAACTTGCTTAGGGAGAGATCTGTGACGCGTCGGAAGTGTCCCGCTGTCTCCCTGATTGTGCTGTGCGTACAGTCGTGTCCCCACATCAGCTGACCTCGAGGTACTGGCTGAGGACAGAGGGCCGGGTGTGGGCCTGGGCAGGCATGGGACAGGGCCGGGTGCCGGCTGGGTGGTGTCGGGCCTTGGGGGCTCGTGCTGCCAGGGCCCAGGACGGGATCTGCTGAGCCGCCCCAGGACCCGGCCCTGCACCCTTCCTCAAGTAACGTGGTGGACGCACAACATAAGCTGCCCCCGTCCAGTCCAGAGGCATTGGCTCTGCAGCCACCACTCTGCCTACTTCTGGAATGTTCCCATCACCGCAACAAAAACCCCACCCCCATTAGCAGTCTCCACCCCCCACCACACCCTGCTCCCTGGAAAACCCCTGATCTACTTCCTGTCTCTCTGGGTAATTCGTGAAATGGAATCCTAAAACATGAGGTTTTTATGTAGGGCTTCTTTCATTCAGCATAATGTTTTCGAGTTTGTTCATGTGGTAGCAGGAGTCAGGAATCCACCCTCCCGTTGGACGGTCATGGGAAGGACCGCAGTTTGCTTACCCACTGGTCCATCCACGGACACTGGGGTGCTTCCCTGTCCCAGCTGCTGGGCATGATGCTGCCGTGAACACGGGGGTTCCGGCATCTCATCGAGACCCTGCTCTCCGTTCTCCGGGGAACACACCCAGACGTGGAATGGCTGGGCCGTGGGCTCATTCTGTGCTTAGTGTTTTGAGGACCCTCCACGGTGTTTTCCACGGCGGCTGCGCCCCACGTCCTCGCCGAGGCTTGTCGGTCTCCGCTCCTTTGAGAGCAGCCGTCCTGCGGGCTGTGGGGTGGGGTCTGCCCGTGGCTTTGACCCGCATTTCCCTGATGCTTGGTGACGCTCAGCACCTTTCCCCGTGCGGGTCGGCCACTGTGTATCTTCTTCAGAGAAATGTCTGCCCACCTTGGTTGGGTGTTGTGTCTTTGCTGTGGAGGCATTTTCCTCACGTTCTGTGAGCTGCCTTTTCATTCCTCTGGAAATACTCTGATGCACAAAAGTTTTTCAGCTTGATGAGGTAGAAGTCACATGTGTTTTCTTCTGTTGCTGGCACTGCTGTCCCTTTGGAGCGGATGGCTTCTGGGTGGGATTCCGGGCACCGCATCGCCTCCTGACATGTCCTGTGTCTCACGCAGTCGTACCTGCTGATGGCGACGGTCATCTTCCTTCCCTACGTCAGCAAGGCCTCCAGCTGGTGCAAGGGCAGGCTTGTGGGTAGGTGCTCGGGCAGGCTGGTGTGTGGGGCCTCGGCACTGCTCCCTAAGGCCTGTGGAGCGTGGGAAGGGCCCAGGCACCCATCACAGCCAGGTGTCCCTGCAGAGTCCCCTCCCCTGGCCAGCTTCTCCCTCCTGCGCGTCCACAGGCCCCCAAGAGCCCCCAGCTCACAGCGTGGAATTCTTCACTTTTGACCTGCATGAACCTCTCAGCAAGGAGCGGGTGGAGGCCTTCAGCGACGGGGTCTACGCCATTGTTGCCACACTCCTCATTCTGGACATCTGGTAAGGACCCAGGCTTGAGGGAGGGGGTCCACGCCTGCCTCTCATCATCCAGCCCTACAGAGGCAGGTGCCGAGGTCTCCTGATGCCAACCTGGACAGAGCTCCCCAGAGCTCAGGGTCTCCTGTGCTGAAGGGGGGGGGCATCAGCGGTCACTTCTCCCTTCCCCAAGCTGGGTAGATGGGTGTGGACGGGC